CGCGGCTATGTTAGCACCGTGATTAATCAGTATTTGTACGCACTTACGATGACCATGAAAAGCCGCTCTGTGAAGAGCTGTGCGGTTCATCTAAACGAGAAAATGCGCTATTCCTTAGCCGTCGCAGATTTTCTTGTTGCTATAATATCAAAAGAAAAAATTCGATATGATTTACGTGGTCGCCCATGTCGATGAAATAAGGTTGTTTTGTATTCAATAAAGCCAACAGTGCCCTGCTGTCTCCTGCTCTTGCTGCAATATGAAACGGAGTGTTTCTAAACTTGCTGCACTGATATATCCGTGCGCCTTTTGCCACCAGTAGTTCAATCGTTTCTACACTACCATACATCGTTGCATGGTGCAACACCGTTGTACCTAGCAAAGTACGTCGTAATTATATTTGGATAGAAAATAACGTGTATGTTAATGTGGCATAACTAAGGTTGTCTTTTAGTGACTCAGAAATATGCGGTAAAGCAAGTAATTTGCGATGAAACATCGTAAAAAATTTTTTAATATTGATTACGCAACTATAGTTGCTTGTGTGAATCATACCTGTTCCTTGATAAATTTCGTTGATATCCGCTCCTGCGGATACCAATAATTTGACGATCTCGAAGAATTTCTTCATTTCATTCGGATCATCACGAGTATTTACTGCGATTCCTGCCAGTAGCAACGGAGGTGTAAAACGGTGGTCTCGAATGTCAGCACGTGCACCATTTTCGATTAAAATGCGCACGACGTCAGCGTGATTATTTCTTACCGCTTGATTTAGTGGTGATCTTCTCCGCATGGGTAACGGTAACTAAAATGTTAAAAAAAGTACAAAGTGTTTTTTTTTTCATAATTGTAACGGTTTTTAGGTTTTTGCTGTAGTGCTAATCGTACGAACATTTTGTCCAATTGAGGTAGATTCCAAGTGCATATCTCTGCTACAGGAATGGATTCCGACTTGGGTGTTGATTTCTGCTTTACATTCAAGAAGTCGTTTGGTAACATCGACGTGGCCGCAATGTGCTGCATAGTAAAGGGCAGTTCTGCCGATTTTGTCAAATCCATTTACGTCAGCACCTTTTTTGATGAGCTGATTTAATAAATCAATGTTTCCTTGCCAAGCAGCTACTTGCAGAGCCGTCACTTCAAGAACGCCTACTGGCTGAATGAACTTGTTTTCGTTGTCTCGCGCCAAAAGTTGATTTGCTTTGTCAAACTCGCCAATCTCAATCGCCGCCACGAATGCGAGACAATCCGGATCACTTGCCGGCATTATTAATGTTTTCGCGTTATTACTGACAAAGTAGTAATCGATTCTCGAACTTATGAAATCTCTCGAACGACTGCTGCCAAAATATATAGTTGGGGAATCCACACCAAGACGTTATCATATCAAGTTTAGGATGTGGTAAAGGATGTGGTAAATAATGTCGCGACGTCATTTCGATTTTATTTTTATTTTAAGATTTGTGTTTCGTTATTTCGTGTTTGCGCGTGTTACGTCCTGGCCCATGGATACGGTCGGGTTGTGGTATGACGCAACAGTAAACGCGTCGATTTCCATATCTCTCTTTACAGTGGACACGGAAGTTTCGCTGTGAGAGTGTCGAGCAAGTTTGTTTATATTCGTCGACAGGTCAACGGCGTACGCCGATCTTACTCTGTCTAGCGAACACTCGCTCGTTGGTCCCTTTTTAGGTCTGAGACGCAAATCTTATTTACCAAGGACGGGACCTAGCGATTTTAACGAGGAAGTGAGAGTGGGTTGTACGGAGAGAAGGATAACAACACCGAAAAAATTGTATTCTTGTTTTGAGGATATCCCACTTACTTTAAGTATATGTTATACTAAAATAGGCGCCAAGAAGAGTTTCTTATTTTAAGAGGAAAATCCTCTAAATAGTAATATTGATACGAATATATACTGATTAGAATATAAAAAGCCTCTATAGAAAAATATATATTTATCTCACTGTCGAAAAAGACTATATTCTTAAATTAAGAATATATTCTTAAATAAAGAATATATTCTTAATTTCAGAAGAATATCATCTAAAATCTTTAAGAAGATTTTTTAAGTATAAAATCTTCTACTTATAAGAATATAATTTTTTCGGTGAAAGAATAATTCTTTAGTTTGATTCTACACATTATAAAGTAGTTATATTTATTAAAAAAAAGACAAATTAAAATCTTAGCAAATTACTAACATACAAAAGTATGTTGAAACTAATACAATGACGGAGCGCATAATCGTTTCCTACAAAGTAATCTATAAGCTAGGGTGCAAGTGTGAGAGAGAGAGGGAATACGAGTTGTTTAGTGCAGCCAGCCTCTTTAACTCATGTTTACGCAACTTAGATCATCTTAGAATTGTAGTTCCTTATGTCAATTGACAAATTCGGTTTTGTTTCATTTCTTAGGTTCCGATAGATTTAATGATAGAAATAAATTTGGATGTGTCATGATTCTAAGATTGATATTCGGAAATAAGCGGGTTTTGTTTGTTTCCGTGATTTAAGAAGGAAAAAGAAGTAATTCGGACGCCACCCGAGACGGTTACACACCGCGAGTAGCCCTTCCGAGTAAACCGAATTTTGAGTGTATCTATATATTTGTTTATTTTGACTGTTTCCCGATATCTCCGAAAATCAATCGCGACGTCAGCTTTTAATTTCGCGAGAAGTGGAACCTCCGTATATATAATGATGTGGACTTACTATTTGCTGCGGACCAGTGATGTTGATTAATAAAAGGTTCTAGGCTGTTGCGGCGCAGTAGTTCACTCTGAGATCTCACATTCTGCACTCACTGTCACTCACTCACTCGCTGTGGTGCTTCTAAAATCTGCGGCACTGACTCTTTTGGTTTTGAGAGTCCTGGCTTATATACAATTTTGGGTAAGCGAGGACTCTCCCAATCGGAAAACTCAGTCGAGCTTCGCCAGTTCCCATTTGTTAGTTAGTGGTCGGGTAAACTTCGTGAGATCGCCAATCGGCGACGATCTCTCGGCTCGGTCGACTCGTCCGATTTTCCGAAGAAGGGAAAAGGGAGAGTGTTGGTTTTCGATCGTCACCTAGACCCTTTCCTATTTGTATATAATAAAATCGCTCGTGGCACCGGAGTTCTATTTGCTCCGGCTGGTCTAATTTTTATGAGCGGTGTTCTTCCTGGCCCGGAGATATCTGGGTTTGTTTGGAAAGTTGCTCGGGATGTTTAAACAATAATAAAAATTTCTGTTTGCTATCGTCTACGAAGGAATTTTTAGGATCGTTGCTAGGCTCGGTTTATTGTTTTCGGGCGTCGGCACGATTTCTATTTGCGCGTCTATCGCGTCGAAGTCCGAGTCCGTTCGTGTTATTTATTATTTCTAAAAAAAGGAATTCATTGTATGTCGGCGCGTCACGTTGCAAGAAAAAGGGGCCCGTGGAGTCCCCAGGACGTAACACGCGGTTATGTTCCTATAATACAACAAAATTTGACACTTTCATGTTGCGCGTGTACGTAACATTACGGAAACCAAAGATCATAGTGAATTTTAAAGTTTTACACACAAATTTTCTTTTAAACTGAAAAATAATACAAGTACATTTGTGTGCACGTAATAACTACAATTTCTGAATATGTTTTATGCCACAGTTACATATTATACTATTTATGTTTTGCAAGACGGCTAGCGAATATAAAGTTTCCATTACACAAGTAAGTACATTAGAATACTGCAACTTACTAAAATTTAACCAAGGAGACACTGTAATCCTTGTGGGAATATGGCTCCTCAAATATATTTAAAAAAGTAACTTTTGAATATATCAGCTTGGTGTATTGAGCAAAACCCAAAACGATTTTGTGTTTTTCTAAATGTGCACAAAACTTTGCTTGTTTCATTAATTGACGTAAGTAGTCTTGTAAAATCATAATTTAATTTTTTCAGATAGTTTTTGTTTAAATACTTTCATGCACAACATTCTATTGACAAAAACATTTACAGTTGCATTTTATATACATAATATGTATACATACAGTGTGTCTGAAAATCGTTGACACAGCCGAAGTATAAAGTTAGATTGGATTAATCTGTACAAAAAAATCATGTTTCTACACTATCTATCATCGTTGCATGATGTAAAACCGTTGTACCTAGCAAAGCACGTCATATTTATATTTGGATAGTAAATAACGTGTGTGTCATTGTGGCATAACTGAGTTTTTTTTTTTCTAGTGACTGACGGAAATGTGCGGTGAAGCAAGCAATTTGCGATGAAACATCGTAAATGATTTTTTAATACCGATTACGCAACTATACTTGCTTGTGTGAATCATACCTATTACTTGATGAATTTCGTTGATATCCGCTCTTGCGGATACCAATAATGTCACGATCTCGAAGAACTTTTTCATTTCATTCGGATCATAGAGATTATTCACTGCGATTCCCGCTAGAAGCAACGGATGTATACAACATTCGCTTCGAATGTCAACGCGTGCACCACTTTCGATTAAAATGCGCACGACGTCAGCGTGATTATTTTTTACCGCTTGATGTAGAGATGTTCTTTCTCAGCACACGGGGAATTGTAACGTCAAAAAAATGTAATGTGTTTTCACACAAAAAGTCAAATTTGTAACTTTTCTCGTTGTCGTAGTGTTTATCGTACAAACTTTTTACCTAATTGGAATATGTTTCTAGTAATTTACATCTTGATTATTGGAAGGAATTTTGACTCGGACGTTGATATTCGCTCCACAATCAAGAAGTTGCCCGGTAACTTCGGCGTAGCCGCGATCTGCCGCATAATAAAGAGCAGATCTGCCAATTGAGTCTACGCTGTTTACATCAGCGCCTTTATCGATGAGCTTATTTAATAAATCAATGTCTTCCTGCCAAGCAACTAGTTGCATGGCCGTCACTTTAAAATCAGTTACGCTCTCAATAAATGCGTCTTGCGTGAAAAGTTGTTTCGCTTCCATTAAGTCGCCTTCCTCGATCGCCTTCACGAAATCGTAAGTATCCCGATGTGCCAACAGTATACTACTTCCGCGTTATACGACAAATTAATAACTGATCCACTATTTTGTGAAAGCTTGCGAACGGTTGCTGCGGAAATATAGGTGGCAAATTCACACAAAGACGAGGTTTTTTTGTACTCTAACAATTATAAAGTTTCGCTGGTTTGGACGAAATCAAGTACGCACGAGTCTTTAACACTTTTTGTATAATTCTTTGTTCACAGCATTTGAACTCGAGATCTTTTCATGACAACGGTTGAAGACAGAATGAAGCAAGCAGTACTTATATCACTCGCATTAAGCACGTTCTACACTAAGCGCATGACGTAGATCTTTCGTGAATACTCTCACTGATCAAATTAGTCAATTGAGCACTTGCAATTGATTAATTCTACGAAACCTGAAGACTTGCGCTTATTGTAGAATGGGCTTTATCGAAAAATGCCAAATTTACTCGATTGCGCATTAGTCAAGAGACGTATACATCGTCGTCGAAAAACTACTATTAGCATTTCAATATTGATCAATTCTTAACAGTCTGGTTTGTCTTGAACAGAACTTGCAATAATTAAGTTACATAAATTTTACATGTGTTAAAGTCAATATTTACATATTAACAGTATTAATGAATTTGTATAAATACTTAACATTTTTATTTATCAAGTCAAGCTTCAAGAATACATGTAGTCAAGTAAACCACTAACACTTAAATCTCGCGTTAGAAACAACCAATACTGTCGTTAAATAAAAACTCTCAATTTTATTCGTTAAATCCATCAGGGGCGCACAACTTTTTCTGTATAGTGCGCTGTATAGAGCGCTTATAAATTTCATTACCCGTCTTTATAGTTGCTACACGAGCAACTCTGTCGTTTCAGAATGCAATTTCAGTACCCGAGCTAAAGGCCATGTCAAAGACGGTTTTTATTCATTTACCACCAGAACCATTGCTCTATGCTGCGGATTTTCGGTGTTATACTGCCATTTAGTATAACGTCAAAAATGCAGCCGAATTGAAGAAAGCAGCTGCTCTGGACCGCAATGAAGTAACTACCTATGTATATGTTTCAAAATAAACGTAGTCACCTAATGTCGAGAAAAAAGAAAGTAACTAAATGTGAATGACGAAAATACGTCTTATGATGGTGTTCGAATGCATGTATATTACGTATCTGTGACAGAAATGTAGTAACATCATTTCATATGTGTTAATCGTAAATCTTCGCTAACTATCATATATCTATTGACGTCACCGAGGAACTATGAGACGGACATTTAACTCTTCGTGTACTTTACTGTAACCTTGCACGTGATGTAGTAACAACATTTAGGAAACAAATATTAAGTAGTTTTAACATCATTATGACATACAAGATCAAATTGGGTAATTTCTTTAAAGTGTCGCGCATTTAAGAAATTTAGATTATCGAGACTTCCCGTCGACTGGTCAACATTCAAGCGTTTGTGTAATCAGACGGCTGCAGCCGTGCGTTCTGACAAGACAGCTTATTTGAACTTGTTTTCCAGTGTTTCTCTGCGTTATTTTTTAGAGCGTCCTTCAAAACTAGGTAGGTACAAAAGACCGTCTAAATCAATTTCCACCCATCCTCTTGGATCTGTTTATTTTCTATTTTATTAATTCACTCTCTTCTTCTTTCTGTTTATTGTCCTATGTTCGCAACTTTCTTATTTCTTCATCTGTTACTCAACGTTTGGTTTTTCTGTTACTCTTGCTGTTCTCAGTGCTAAAGAACATTAAGCTTACATCTACTGATCCTTATGATTTGTCAGGGCGTGTGATTCTCTTCTGTTTATCTGAATGTTTCGATACGTTGATATGGCTACTTCAAATGTGAGCGTTTAATCTCTGATGTGTTTTCTTTCGCCTGGAAACATTTCATTGTTCTTCTTATTTCTAAAAGTTTCAAATTCTTCTGCTCCTTCTTTGCGACTTTTTCTCGCTTGTCGTGCTTTACAGTGACTTTCGTATCCGCTTTCTATTACAAGTCACGGTCAGCGACTTTTCCTTTCTTTTGTATTTATTGTTTCCTTTTATTCTCAAAACCAAATTTTAGTTGTGTCGATACATACTCACACAATAAATAATAAAACGAAAGAAAAAATGTGGCTCTATAAAAATTCAAATATGCAAAAAAAGAGTAAAAAGCTAGTGTTGGATCTTTTTGCAACGCGAGAAATATATTTTATCTAAAATATACATTAAAACGATATCGCACATATACATTTCGACTTTATTTGTATGCTCTTCAGAGCCTAAATATCAATATGTATAAAATTGCCTTACGGTGGTATAAAAAAATTAGAAATACGAGTAAGACAGCAAAAGTGTACGTTTTACAATAAGATTGTTGAAATACGTGTGCCATCAAAAAAAAGTATAAAGTTTGCAAATATATTTACCCAAATTATAATTTGTATTTTCCGCAATATTTTTTGTCTAGGTAATTCTCGACTGCTGGCTTCATCATGGCTTTGCATAAGAGAAATTGCGTGATAGCTGGATATATACAAACCGCGTCGTATGCATATATGCATTCTCTTAAGTAGTTATAACTACTATATATTATATTTACTGATTCAGTAGTTATAAATCTTCCACTGAGTCAATTATTTACTGATTTTCAGTGCAATGCACTGATTCTACTTAAGAGAGTAGTGCAATTACACAACGTTTATTCTTAAAAAAATGGCAAGACATGTTCGAGCATTAGCAACGTCTAGAGCGTTTATTCAAAACAGTAAATATTGTTAATTATCTAATTACAAAATTCATTCTTATCAATGATTATGCATACATCTTGTTCGATCATTCTTAAATTACAAACAAAACTTAACATTTGGGATTATCCTATTAAATAACATAAAGGTATAAATAACGATCTTCAGATTCGCGTACAATTAAATTCTAATATAGATGAATAAATAATCCAATATAAATGCGTACAGATGTATTCAGCGAAATTTTCTTTTTGGACATTAATATTTATGTTACATAATATTTTATACAGTATATTAAGTGAAGAAACCTTAAAGTTAAAACGTATTGATACACTGAAAAAAAAATTGAACTGTTAATAGCGTATCATTAATTCCATTTATTTAAGGAATGTGAAAAATCTGAAAGACGCACAACGTGCGTCTTCTAGCACCAATGTGTTTTAATTTGCATATTATCCTGCATCTGGTTCAAACTTGTCGACCTTACATATCTATATTGGATTATCGTTTTATTTTTCTTGTTGGATATAACAAACCGGTTCTTAGACTTTCCGAGACAGACTTGCCCCGAAGAGCTAAGAAGCATCAGAAGAAGAGCGACCTCAATCGACGGTTTCCTATCAATCCTGATACCATTCCGTTCCGTCTTTGTGTGACCTCGGCACCTACATTAGTTCTGCAGTAATCGTTCGAGAAACTTCATAGAATTATGGATTAGTTATTACTTCGTCAGTAAACGCGAAAGAATTAATAAAATGTCGGCAAGTGATCCGGTTTGTCTCACATTTGTGGCGGCGATCGAGAGTGGCAACTTTGACGAAGTAAATCGACTCTTGGCGCAAGACACAGTAACCACATTTAAACAGACAGTAGGCGTTCTTGAAGTGACGGCTCTGCAAGTAGTTGCTTGGCAAGGAAACATTGATTTATTGAATCAGCTCATTGAAAAAGGTGCTGACGTAAATGGATCCGACAAAATCGGCAGAACTGCCCTTTACTATGCAGCACATTGCGGCCACGTCGATGTCACCAAACGGCTCCTTGAATGTGGAGCAAAAATCAACACCCAAGTCGGAATCTCTTTCTGTAGCAGAGATATGAACTTAAAATCTACCTCAATTGGACAAAAGGTTTGTACGATAAACACTATGGCAAAAATCTAAAAACGTTACAACTTCACAAAAGGAAAAAATTGTATTTTTTTAAACATTGTTAGTTACCGTTACCCATGTGCTGGGGAAGATCACCACTACATCAAGCGGTAAAAAATAATCACGCTGACGTCGTGCGCATTTTAGTCGAAAGTGGTGCACGCGTTGACGTTCGGGACGAACGTCTTACAACTCCGTTGCTTCTGGCGGGAATCGCAGTGACTAATCGCGATGATCCAAATGAGGTGAGGAAATTCTTGGAGATCGTAACAATATTGATATCAGCAAAACAATCGTATATCAACGAAATTCATCAAGTAACAGGTATGATTTACACAATCAAGTATAGTTGCGTAATCAGTATTAAAAAATCATTTACGATGTTTCATGGCAAATTTTTGTCAATCATTAGAAAAAAAAAACACATTTATGCCACAATGACACACTCGATAATTATCATCCAAATATAAATATGCCGTGCTTTGCTAGGTACTACGGTTTTGCACCATGCAACGATGATAGGTAGTGTAGAAACGATTAAACTACTGTTGACAAAAGGCGCACGAATAATTCGGTGCAACAAGTTCGGAAACACGCCGTTGCATATCGCAGCGAGAACAGGAAACAGTAGAGCACTGTTGGCTCTATTGAACACAACACAATCCTATTACATTGACATGCGCGACGACGTAAATCATATCGAATCTTTTTTTTTTTTTTTGATAGTATACTAACAAGAATCCGCGACGACTAAATTACTTTCTCATTTAGATGAATTGCACACCTCTTCATATAGCTGCTTTTTATGGTCACTCTGAGTGCGTACAAATATTGATTAATCACGGAGCTGATTTAACCGCGGCGATGGAAAAGGGTATTACTGCGGCTAACGCCATATTCACTCATATTTCACGGCCTGTAGAATGTTTAACGTACATTTTGGATTCCTCAGTAAAAATGACCGACAATTCTTCGGAAAAATATGAAGATATAAAAACTGGGGTATGTATATAAAACTTCTATAAACTTATTTTTTTAAAGATACATAATTTTTTTATGAGGCATGCAAATATTCTCGTTACTCCATTGACATGAATATAAAAGATCTAAGTCAATGAGGTATTTTACTGTTACAGATTGAAGTCGACTTCAAAATATTGACTCCGGCATTTCAAAAACATCAAATGGCAGTAGTCATGGCTATCATAAACGCAGCGTTGGGCATATCACAATTGGCAATATTGCAGCATCCTCTTGTAGAGATGTTTCTTAGATTAAAATGGGCAAGATTAAAGATATTTTTCATTTTTCTGTTGCTCGTACATTTGTCCTTTGTCGTTTGTCTCTCAATCTTTGCTCTGATGTTTATAAACAATAACACTGTTGATATTTTGCCAATTCCGAGGATTCTGTATGTGTTTTCCTGTTTTCCTTTGGCTCACAGTTTGGCACAATTTTTATTAGAACCCAAGTAACTAAATTATCTATAATTAATAAGTATGTATTTACATATATATTAAAAACTTTTAATTAGAGCTCACTCATGAAATATATATTGTATATTTCAGGCATTTTGCAAAACAAGTAGAAACGTGGCTGTCAATCCTATGCGCAATTGTATCACTCGCACCGGCGATAGGTAGCGAATTCGCAAACTGCGATAAAGAAGAAATTGAAAAACTACATTGCGCACAGTGGATATTGCACTGTCTTTCTATCGCAATTTTGCTTAGTTGGATGCAAACGTTGCTACTAATAGGTCGATTTCCTATGTGGGGATACTATGCGCTAATGTTTTCTACAGTATTAAAAAACGTTTTAAAGGTTAGATAATAAGTAAATAATCAAATATAAGAATCAGATTCTTGCTGAATTTTCATAAGTTATTTCTTAGAATAAGCTATTGCTTTTGTAATCACTTTTCGAAAAAGAAAAGTATTTTCTTTCAGGTTATTTTGATTTTTGGATTTTTGATCATTGGATTCGCTCTGAGTTTTATGATCGTGTTTCACAGAAAAGACCAGTTCGGTAGTTTTTACAAAGCAATCGTGTCGACTGTAGTAATGATGACAGGCGAGTACGAGTACACGGATCTGTTTAATAATAGTACAAGCACAGATTCTACAGATAATGAAGAAGATTTCCTACCGATAACTGCTAGAATTATATTCTTTAGTTTTATCATACTTACCAGTATTATTCTGATCAACCTTATGACCGGTCTAGCGGTCAACGACATTCAAGCTCTCGAGAAAGAGGTACAATATATAAAAATTATGACTTGAAAATATAACTTTCAATTTAGAAGATATTTATATTATTTTTTTATTATATTATTTATCAATAGATTGTTATGCATCTACCCAGATAGCCAACTGAGTGCAAGTTGTTGGCAACTTGCCACAAATATTACTCGTATGTGTTCAGCAATGTAACAAAAGGATGTATCCTCTTTTCAGTATGTTCTTGCCAGCAACTGTTTTCAAAATATAATAACAGCAAGTTCTCAACAACTCATCGGCAATAAACTTATATTATTTTTCTCAACTTATGAATAAAAATTATTGCTCATATATTGCTTACATATTGCTGACTCACATGTCATAAACATTGGCTACAACAATTGATTGATAATAAAACTCAGCATATTGATACTGAATTGACAAAAACATTTTTGTTGCATTAAATAAAAACAACAGCAATTGGCGAGCAACTTAATCTATATAATGATTTGCTTTATAGAGTTTTCACATTTGGCTATCTGGGTACTTATTTAACATTTAGAATAACTGAAATAATCAATTTAATATTTAGAATAACTGAAATAATCAATTAATGTTTTCACATTCAGGGCCACATACGACAGTTATTGAAACAAGCTGAGTTCATTGCACAGTTGGAAAAACTGATATCACACAAAATTTTTCAGAATAATTTGTTACGTTTTAGATTATTAAGAAAGTTGAGATGCAATATTTCTACAAAGATTACATTGTCTCATTGTTCAAATTATTTTTATTTAGATTATTCTAAGATACCTACCCATTTACTGGAAGCTTTATACTTGCTAGCCATCAAGACATCTCACAATAAGTAAATAGTATATTTAACTACGAGATAAAATACATTCTGATATATATCGTAGAAAATATACGAACACATTGGTAATGTGTAATTTTCAGATCAGAAGAAAGTTTGTCCGATGACAAGAAGTTCGGTTCTTTGATACCAGAAATAATAAATAATTTAGAAGAACAAATACAAGAATTGAAAACACGTTACTCTAACTCGATTGCAACCAAACTCGAAAATCCTTATTCTGATATGTTTTCAGAAGAAAGTGTGCAACTAGACTGACTGACGCTGTAAAATCTTAATACATTTTACATATTATATGTGCAATTATTCTGTACTAAATGCTTAACATTAGATATTAACATTTCGGTGACACATTGTTTTGCTGCTTAATTTTTTATTGCTTAGTTCTTTACTGCTAGGAACCACTGCTTTAGTGCAATATACAGAATGTTTGAAAAATTTTGACCACGTTGAAATGTGAAAGTAGATTGAAATAAATCTCTATCGAAAAGAGATGTACCATTGTGCATAATTCGCAATAGTTATTGTGTGATTAATTAATACATATGACCCAATGAGCGCGTGAAAAGCGATGGTACGTTTGTAAGTATATATGATTTTCATTGATAAAAAAAAACGCTTATTTCATGCAATCTTCTATCAAGAAGCGAACTAAAAAAGCGAGTGGTGTATGACACAGTTTCTTGCAATTAGCTGATTTTCACAACTTAAAATCAGTTATAATAGTATTTAAGTATAATATATACAGGGTGCGGCGCCAAAATCCGGACAAATTATATATGTTTTTCTAAATATGTTTTATTGCTACAAT